TATAACTCTTGTCTATACTCTTGAGGAACAGTAGTTTTTCTACTTACTACCTGTTGAATTCTTTATTTAGTGAAGAGTTAAGTTTGTGATTATAAACAGCACCAAAAAGGAAACCTGTTAAAGTGAAATGAACACTATGAGAAACAGTGACTTGATCAGCCCTCACCCTGACTGTTGATGAGCAGCTTAATATGTTATCCCTCTTAGTATTTTTTTTGTTTGTTCTACTTAATACTTTTGGTTGAATACTGTAATCAATACACAATTCTTCTTAAGTGCTGAAACTTAACTGAAAAGTGATCGCTGTTAAATATAAGAGTGGGAATAAGAGAGGGAAGAGATGTGCAATTCGGGACATGCTCAAGCTGACTTACCTCAAACGGTAGAGTTAGAAACATACCAGGGGATTCCAATTCAATCCCATCAAGGTGGCATGTACCAATGCCATCTCACTAGTCCCAGTGATCAATTTCTGTTCACAATTGATCATAATGATAGGACTAAGAACCAAAGGGATCACATAAACAAGACTAGTGTCTGCAAATACTAGCTGATAGAATCAAAAAGGGAGAGAATGATCCAACATTGGAAGTGAGATACACAGCAGACCCATAGAATGGCAGATGTCCTAAACAGCACTCTGGCCTCAGAATCAGCCCTTAAGGCATGCAGATCTGGCTGAAATGCCCATGAGAGTATTTCAGGCATGGAAAGCCAAGACACTCTGGGGGAAAAAAAAAAAAACCTAAATGAAAGATCTCCACGAGTGAGATCCCAGTGGAAAGAATGAGTCATCAAAGAAGGAGGTACCTTTCTCTGAAGGGAGGAGAGAACTTCCACTTTGACCATGGCCTTGTCTAAATATGATCAGAGTCAGTGAACTCAGGGGGCTTCCATAGCCTTGGCAGCTCATGACAAGAGCCTAGGGTGATTACCGATGCCATAAACAAGAGTGTCAATTTGTTAAGTCAACAACAGGAGTCACTGTGCACTTACTCCTCATGTAGGATCTCTGTCCTTAGTGTGCTGTACATTGTGATTTAATGCTATAACTAGTACTCAAACAGTATTTTTCACTTTATGTTTCTGTGTGGGAGCAAACTGTTGAAATCTTTACTTAATGTATGCTAAACTGATCTTCTGTACATAAAGAGAATCGAAAATGAATCTTGATGTGAATGGAAGGGGAGAGGGAGTGGATAAGGGGAGGGTTGCGGGTTGGAAGGACGTTATGGGGGGGAAGCCATTGTAATCCATAAGCTGTACTTTGGAAATTTATATTCATTAAATAAAAGTTAAAAAAAATAAAAAAATTTAAAAAAAGTACAATTTCACATTTTACCCTTGAATGCAATAAAGGTATTTGTTCTTGTCAAAAAAAAAAAAGTAAATTGAAAGTATGTTACTATAAAAATTAAAAAGAAGAAAATGAGGAGGTGGGGAGGCAGGGAAAGGAGGTGGGCAGTATATGCTCTTAAAACTGTGTATATGAAATACATGAAATTTGTTCCCTTTATGTAAATTTAAAATGTAAAAAAAGAAAGCACACCCATAGCTCTTGTATACATAGTACTTTCTATATGTCCTACCTTGTTCTAACAGCTAAACATATTTATTCCTCATAGCAGTTAAATAGTACTATTGATATCCCTGCCTTAAGGAGAGGTCCTTAGCAAAAACTTGCTCAAGGTTACACAGTTAGTAATAGAGCTAGAATTTAAACCTAAGAAGTTTGGTTTCCTGAACCATTCTGTACTTGTGGGTTTATTGTAATGTGACATTCATTACATTCTTTAATTAAACCAATCTCTCATACATACATGACAGTGGGTGATAATTTTGAATACTCTAGATTCAAATAGACTAAATTCTTAGAAATGATTAAAATATCCTTAATAGCAGAGACTCTGAAGCTTTGATGCTCCTTGCATATATGGGCAACTACATAGAAAATAATGGCCACTAGCTCTGGGCTGAACTGATTTCATATTAGCTGTGTGACAAATTACTTAACTCTTGTATCAAATGAAAAATTAAAATATACACTCCAACTTGTAAATGTTGACTTAGATAGCATGTTCATTTAGCTGATATAACAGGGCCAACACATAATAAGTTCTCAAATTATATTGGCTATTATCCACCTAATCACTTTTTGTATTCACAAAACAAATCATGTACATTCCTTCCTTGAGCATTTCAAGGTTCTCTGTATGTCTGGCACTAACCATGGACGTGCAGGATGCAATATAAGGAAATCTTAGCTTCGTCCTTGACAGAGCTACCCTGACAGAGGAGATGTGATTTTACTCTGTGACAAATGCCATAACAGGGCATGTCCAGAGAAATATGGAACAGCATGGAGAGAGCAATCTGTCTCATCTGGGAAGTCAGAGGTTTTCACAATGGAGTAACATATAAATGAAGACTTGGATAACTGACTAATCACTTGCTGGAAATAACAACCCGAGTGACTTGGTAGAAGCATTCAGGTTCTGTGTCTTATTCTGAAGAATGAGTTGTCAGGATGGACTCAGCAGTGGTCTTAACCCTGAATGTGCAACAGACCTACCAGTCATCCACTCCAAATATTCTGGCAATATTTAGTACAGTTTATTTTGCTCAGAATGGATTTAGGTTAACAGAAATAGCAATGAGCAGAGAGCACAGAGAGTTCCCATGCATTCCCTCTCACATTAACATTATTTTTAAAACACTCCACAGGTTTCCAATGCACAGCCTGGCTTCCACCTTCTTGGCTAAAATCTAGAGTATGGAAACAGTTGGTTTTGAGAGTAGAGGGTGCAGAGAACTGGAGGAGGAAAATGAACTCGATGAGCAAGGAGATTGGCAAGGTGAAGGTCAGATGGCAACATGCCCCATTAGATCCTGCCAAGGAGATTGGACTTAATCCTGAGGGTGGAAAGCAGTCACTGAAAGATTTCAGACAGGAAAGTGAATTTTTCTGATTCCTATCTTAGAAAAGCAGGCTGGCAGAAACATAGATGTAATTGCGTAGGTAGGCTGGAGTAGATATTACGCTATTGAGTAGTCAACCTTTTTGGGTTTATCCAGACACTATAAAACTTTTAAAGGAGATGTTTTCAAAGCCCTGGAGTCCTGATCTGTGCCTTCCTTTTTGGAGATGATTGTCTAGTCATGAACATGGACATTGCACCTTTGTAGGGGAATGACTAAGGGTGATAACCTCACCCTACTGCTCTTAGAATTGGATTGAAGGTTGTAGCAGGTGGGGCGTAAGCCAGACTCTCAAAGATGAAGGAGTGTCCACCTGTCAAGCAGTGAGGAAATGGTTATTAGCATAAAGAGGTCAGATCCACCCTCTAGAAGATGAGGTTGGAATAAAATAGCTGTGCAGAAGCAGAAGGAGGCAGGAAGCAGCAAGCAAAAGCAAGGAAGATGGTTGGCTACTTCTGGGAGCAGGGAAGGGTGACTGTGCCTGAGCAGCTCTTTCACATGTCCACAATGCATGTTTTCCTGGGGCTTAAACAGGACCAGACTGATGGGTGAAGTTATAGATAGATTAGCAAGATGAAGAAGATTTTTTGAATTCACGATTAGAGTGAGCAACTCTGTTGGCTTTCTAAAACAATGGAAAAGCAGTAAGGTTCTATTGTCTTGCCATTTTTAGATGAATTTGTAGACATCTGTCTCTAAACAAAGAGTTTGTGTGCCTCTTCCTTGCCATGAAGTCAAAAACCTCTTTTCCTTAATGCCTGATATTTGTAGTGTCATCATTTAACTTCTGCTTCCTTCCTGGAGGCCACTATTCCATTTTCTGCAGCGAAGCTGCCACACAGCTGAGGTGCAGGGCCTTGCCCAGGGTCACACTGTGCGACAAGGTTAGAGTAGGGTTAGCATTTGCCATGTGTGCCCACTCTCGGTTTGGTTCACTTGTTCACTCTGCTTGTAACCGTGGCAGCCCATGGAAACAAAATCAACAAAGTATGATGCCAGACAGTAGCCAGAGAATTCAGACATTGGGAATAATCCATTCTCAGCATGTCTGTTAGAAGCAGTGTCAGGAAATAGAGTTTGCCCTCACTGTCTTCTAGTCCAAAGACTGCAATGAACAGACCATTGTAGGCACGCTGTCTGCCCCAGCTTCCATATCCTTAGCCTCAAATTTATGGGATGTGTGTGCAAAGTATTCTCCATGGCAACCATTGGTTACTCTAAAAGCTGGTCCAACTTTTCTTGAGACTAATCTGGCGACATTGTTCAAAAGCCCTTAAAAGGGAACCTGACCCAGGAATTGCACTTCAGGAACATACTATAAGTAATTAAAATAGCATCAGACAAAGATATGCAACTGAGCATCACCTTTCATAGCAGAATCTAGAAATCAACGTAGTGTCCAACAATCATGGAATGCCTAGATAAGATCTGGTTAAAATTGCAAATGGAATTCCATGCAGTCAATAAAAACAAGACTTGGCAAACTGTAGTCCATGGGCCAAATTGACCCACTGCTTATACCTGTAAATAAACTTTTATGAGAGAACCGCCAAACCATTCATTGCTATATTTTCTATGGATGCATTTGGAGCCACAGCAGTGGAACTGAGTCATTATGAAAGAGAACACATGACACTCTTTTATGTCTCTTACTAGCCTTTTAATTTTTACTCAAGTTCTTTTCTTGTCTCTGGAGTACTATGATATTTTTGGTCACTATTAAGGAAAAAAATCATACAATGACATTAGGTTGTAATGCAAACTATTAATTCAAAAAAGCCCATCTACCATATGAACCAACATGTCACTCTTCACTTTGTCCCAGGAGTTCAGTTGGACAGCTAGGAGGAACTCTAGCCAAGCTGTCTGTAGGTAACACTGGGAAATATAGCCTTACTTTCCTCCATTTCCACTGCTGCCTCTCACCTTTTCTTCTTTATCCTACTAACCCCAAAGAGAGTGAAAAAAAAAAACACATAGAGGCCAGGGAGACTGGCAAAGACAGACAGAAACATTCTTACCTCACTGGTGCTCCTATTAGGTAGCAGCACATTTTCTCAGCTTGGAAGACTCACTCATTTTTGGACATGTGTGTGCCTATGTTGTTTCTTTTTGGAGCCCGGTTTGACTGAATAGCTCATGATGTAGTCAATCCACTTGCTTTCAGCTGCTCCTCCTCCTGTTTGCCCATGGTCCTCCACATTGGCTGTCTCTATCAGGGGCCCAGAGCCCTTTGTAGGGTGTGCACTTGGGCAGGATTTAAAAGGTGTCAAGTTCGGCTGGATCTACCCTCCGCCCCCAGTAAATATTCACACATCTTTCAGCTTGACACACTCTGGGCATGCAGCTAACCCCAGTGTGGCAACTCATCGCTTTTGTTTCAGTAGTTGCACAGCTGGATGACTCACCTCTGCCTCTTAGATTTTCCAGATGAATGTTGGACATTGGCAGGCTTCACTCACCAAACTCTTGCATAAGCACGGCAAGGCCTGAAGTGGCCTTGAAAACTTCTCTCACTTGTAGTTATGAGAGGCAGCGAGTTGGTGAAAGTGTGGCATTTTCCATGCCCAACAAGTCCTCATTGCAAAATCCGCAACTGCCTGTTCTTTGTGGGTGAGCCATCTAAACAGGTCTCCTCCATTGTGCTTCTCTTTGATTGGTGATTTATTGAGTAATTTCCCCTTCCTCTTAATTATCTGTATTTTTAATGGACACGTATTCAGTATGTGATGTGAAGACACATGTAGAAGAGAGTTTCAGTTTTAAGGTATCATGCTGAACATACGACTGTCTTTTGTTCTCAGGTTCATGTCTATAAAGTACAGATGAAATGGTAACATCATAACTCAAGTGTAATAGCTATTGGTTTATTTAGCTGAAAATTTATGCAAGGTCTATTGAAGAGGATGTTTCATTCAGAAATGTGGGATCTTTTATTTCCTACATGTCTTTTTTTCTGGTGAATAGAAAAATCAGCTTTTCCTGGGGAAAAAAAAATTCCCCTAACGTACTTATTGCTTGCTTCGAACTCAAGTTAATTACTTGAACAGCATCTTTAACAGAGAAAAGCTGACGCAAGAAACTGGACAAGGTCTCTGTCTCCAGTGCTCTGAGGAGCGAGCAGTAAGTAAGGTGCTCTGCACAGCTCAATGATTTGCACCACAGGAAAGCCATACTTCCAAGGGCAGGCAATATGTCTGCAGTATCCTCCTGGAGGAAGGAGGGCCAGGAGCTCATCTTTATGGCTTGAGGCTTGAAAGCTGCTTAACTGGGCGGAACGCCACCTCCTTGCCATCAAAGCTGTCCACCTGGCAGTGAATCTCAATGAGACAGCTGACTGGCTCAGCACACAAGTTGCCTTGCCAAGGGGATGAGAACTTAACCAGAAGGTCTTTCAGGAAATCTGTTTAGGATGTGGGGGATGAAGAGGAAGAGAAGGAGCAGTTCACCCCCTGAATGAGGCGAATGAGAAAGAGTAGCTATTCTTCCTTGAACAAATCATTTTGAGCTTTTATGTGCCCTTAACTCATTTAGCCATAAATTCTCTAAGACTCTCATTTCAGATTCTTATATTAGCATCAAACATTGAAAGTCCTTAGTGAATAGAGCATTCACGTTGGTTCAACTCAAGGAATGAGACTAAGAAAAGATCTTTAAAAATATTTCCATTTGAAAACAATCAATATGAGCAGGAATATTACAGGGGAGTTATGAAGCTATAAGTTTTTAAAACCTACAGTTGAAAAATGTCTTGGATTGTTACTCTTCATCAGACACTATAATCCTAAACCTAATAGCTATGCGGACTCTTATTTACCCAGTAGTCTCCAGGTCCCATGCTCAGCAGTTTCCATAAATGTTTTAATCTAATGTTCTTGAAAACCTTGTGGGCAATTCTTTTTATCCTTACTCTGCTGGCAAGAGAAACTAGACTCAGACCCATTTCGTAAATCATCTATAGACAGGAAATAACTTACAGAACAAAGATTCAGTTCCCAGTTGCTCCCACTCCAAAACTTAGAATCTTGTCAACAAGGTTGCCTCTACCAAATTTGTTATAAGAAACGACTTTTTAATCACTTAATGAGCAACTGGGGCTGCACATGTGAACAGGAATGGGGATATCCCTTCAAATCATTCCTGTATTTTTCTGCCACTTGTTTCCCAGGACCTATTTGTCTATTCCCATCTCAGGATTTCTGTTGCACCTAACATTTAGGAGAATCTGCAAATCTCCTGAGATATGCTGTTGCAGTTGAATTAAGTCAAGAATATGGAATTCTTTCCACTCTTACTCCTGATAGTTGCAGGACAGGAGAAAGACACAGGATAATTGAAGTCTGGGCATACTATAGAGAAAGCCCATTTCTATACCACTGGCTTTTTGTTATGACAAGGTGATTCCTCCTCTGTCCTTGGCAACAGTGGAAAACTACTCAAATGATATACATAAAGTGCCATATAGGTTGAGAGTTTTTAATTGTGCCTTTGATGCTTTTAGAACTGGACAAGATAAAATTTAAGGAAAATAATAAAAGAAGAGGGAAGAGTTTGAAGAGTTTTGGACAGAGTCTTTAAAAAAGAAAGCCTACTGAGACTAAGTGGGTATTTGGAAGCACTATTTGGAAACAGCTTAAAGAACCAAAGCACAGGCCAAGTTGGTTTCCCGGACTCATTATTTTGAGCTGTGTGAGGTTGATGGGGAAAGTTATAAAATTTAAGTCTTACTTTCCTTGTATGTAGGCAAAGGCAATCAAATTTACCTCATAGGTTTGCTGTATAAGATATTCCATATTCAGTGCTTAATACAATGCCTAGCCCAAGGCAAATATACAAATCAGCTGCTAATACTCATCAGCCATTAATTGCTCTTAATAGTGCTACTCTAGTCCTAAGAATTGAAAAAAAAAGTACCTCCTGCATAGAATACTTCTTCTCACTTCTCAGATTTTAGCCTAAAAGAGATTACCAAGAAAGAGTTGACTTTTTCATTCAGTTCACTTTGCAAAATGAACAGGAAAGAAATACCCCGTTTCCCTGCTAAGATTGGGTTAAGTATGCATTCTGAGTGCCCCCATAGTTCCTTGTTCTCACTGCTATTGTGGTACCTGCCATGCTGTGCTGAAAAGGAGTGTTTACACATCTGTCATTCCTTTCAGGGCAGGAGCTGTATTTTATCCATTTCCTCGGAGCCTAATACAAAGTTTGAAATATATGATTTACACAATAAATACCTATTGGGAGAACGAATTAGAACTGACAAGGTGATATATGTGAAAATGTGAGCTATTAGGAATATTGTTACATTTCTTGAGTAGTATTGTCACATGCCATAATGGCTATGATATACAGCTATTCCAACTAACTCTTCCTAAGACTACTATTGAAGAAAATGCTTACTACTTGCCATTTAAATAAAAGGCTGAATGATATCTTCCCATACCAGAGCTTCACAAAATGAACAGTTTCATCAGAACAATTTTTGTCTCTCCCAATCAAAGCAGATACTAGTTTTAAAAGAAAAATGTAGATGAGATTTTAATCACCATTAACAGCTCATGTAGAAGCTATTTCTGGTGACATCCATGAGGCTTACAAAAATTTCTGTGCTGATTGTATGTGGAAAGAGTTGCAATAACTGGAGTTGTGAATACATTTTTGATGACAATGGCATTGAACACTAATTTAACCTACAGGACACTGAAAGATGGATTTTTTTTTGGTAAATTCTTTATTGTGGATGATTTTACAGTTTCAGCATAGGTTTCGGTGCTTTGGCAGGGCCTTACAAAGCCTTCCTAGGCTGCAGATGGGAAAGAGAAATCGCCACTGCTCCAAAGTGAGTGGAGGGCAGCAAAATGAGCCAAGGCTTTGTATCTGCTCATTACAGGCGCAACAGTTATGCAAACTAAGAACCCAACATTTTACTAAACTGATGCCAAAAATCTTGTCCCACAGTACAACAAATGTTTGAATCTGCAGAGAGCCTATGTAGAATAAAATCAATATGCTGTTGTTGGACTACATGTCTTTTGATGAAATTGGTGCTTACAAAATGCCTTGGACACTTATTTCGAATGAGCCTTATCTAATAGCAAATTGGATATGCATTTTCTCTGTATTAGAGATGGAATTCTTGAAAATGCTCCTTTTTCTCCTGTTCAAAAATTCTGCTGGGAAGCGCTGTGAAGGGAGAAGGAATGAATTCTATTGTCCTGGGAAAACCATTGCAAATGAGAGGGTTATTGAGTGTGTTTTAGATATAAGAAAACAGGTTCTGAAAAGTTAAAGAATTTCCCCAAGAGGTGAAACAAATATAGGAACTTAGGATTTCAGAACAATCAACTGCATTGTCCTCCCTCAAACCAGGTTACCTGTTGGGAAAGGTAGGTAGTGTGAGGTTTTGTTAAGTCCCACTCTGATTTTTATTTCTTCATCTCTATCAACATAAAGCTAATCATACTCTCAATAACAAGTTCTTATTTGTTTCTTTATTCATTTGAAAGGCAAATAGACAGAAAGGGGTACACAAAGACTGACAGAGATCTTCTATCTACTGGTTCACTCCCAAAATGCCAGCAACAGTCAGGGTTGGGTTAGGCAGAAGGCAGGATATCAGAACACAGTACATGTCTCCCATGTGGGTGGCAGTGATCCAAGTGCTTGTGCCATATTTGCTACCTCCAGGATGCATGTTAACAGAAAGCTGGACTCAAAAGCGGGGCCAGGACATGAGATCAGGCTTTCTCATGTCAGTAACAGGTTCTGAAAGTGTGAGCCGTTCACTGCAGTGGAGAACGGTATCAAGTTCTTGTTCAGTCTCATGGTTAGGATATTTCTCACAGATTTGAGTGTCCCTATTTTCCAGGAAGTAATTAATGAATAGAAAAGCAGTCTTCCAGACACTTAGGTTAGCTTCACACTTCCCAGCCTAGAGGTCGTTGCATGTAAAAATCATCAGACAATGACTACAAGACCACAAGGACTTTGAAAATTGATTTTTTTCAGCACTGAGTGACAGTTCTGTTCATCCCTATGAGGGGTCTTCAAAAATTCCTGGAAAATAGGACTTATGAAAATAATTCCTGCATTTCAAAAACTTTGTCACCAAACTAAACTTATCCTTTTAAAATTATTTGATTTATTTATTTGAAAGGCAGAGGAATAGAGAGATAAGGAGAGAGAGAAAGAGAGAGAGAGAGAGAACGGGAAAGATAAAAAGGGAGATCTTCTATCCACTGGTTCATTCCCCAGATGATCGCAATAATCAGGTCTGAACCAGCCTGAAGCCAGTACCCAGGAATAACATCTGGATTTCCCACATGGGTGAAAGGGGACTCAAGTACTTGAGTAATTATCTGCTGCTTTCCCAGGCACATTAACAGGGAGCTAGATCAGTAGTGGAACAACTGGGACTTGAAACAGTATCCTGATAGGGGATCTGGTGTCGCAAGTTGTAGCTTAACCTGCTGCATATCAACTTCCACCCCATAATCTTTTAATTCTATTTTTCTGTGAACTTTCTGAAGCCCCCTCATTTCTCTTCCTTCTTCATTTTTAATCCATTAACTTTCTGCTCTCTTTTAAAATTACCTTATTGCATTGCTTGCATTATCTCACAATGGGCAGTTTATTTTTTGTTTCCTTTAATAATCATTTTCCCAACACAGATGATTTCAGAACATACAGTTACACAATAGACACTTAATATTACAATCTTACTAATTTGTACACATTTACACATTTGTTTTTCTGTCAAATCCTACTTGATGAATTAGGACACGATAATACAGTCAGGAAGACACATCTGGAAAGCAAATTCCTCCTAAGAACATTTCATCCCATTGGAGTATGGATCTGGAGAATAATCACACGAACCAGAAAGAAAGAGCAGGTGCTGGCTGGTGAAAAGAGGGTGAAAGGGAGTCAAGTTTAATTTGAATGAGGAAATCCCACCAGGCCTGTGAAACCTGGGGACTTGGAGGATTCAGGCAGATGTGAGTCAGGGATCTCCAGTATAAGTGAAGTTTAGGTAATGCATGTCTTGAGCATTTATATTTACATTTTAAATCCTTGGTTTATTGGTAATTTTTGTAGTAGGAATCTCAGTTTGTTAGGAAAGCCATCATTCTTAAAACCTTTCGTTAAATCCTGAATCTTCCCTCTACCAAGCTGAATGTGCCTTTCATTACACAATAAAAACTTACCTTGCCTTCTGGACTCTCTTCCCACTGAGCTGACCTGCTTCTTCACAGGCCAAAGGCGTACCCCTATGATCACATTTGTTTAAATTATTTAAATATTAAAGTGACAAGTATTGAGTGCACACTGTGCTCCAATCATTGTAGACATTCTAGGAAACCACTGGGGCAAAATGCCTTCTCTCTGGATCCTTACATCCCAAAGTCTAACAGTCTAGTATGAGAAAGGGCCCTCTCCGGTTATTCTTATATTCACAGATTTCTTGGCATTTACCTTGTATTTATTTTGCAAATGAGCCTTCAATTCATTTTGTCTAGTTCCAAATAGATAGTCCAATTAGATGTTTGATGGGAATTCATTTAATCTCTATATTAATATGAGAAGAAATAACTTGAATATATAGTATTTTTTTGATCCAGGCCATACTGTTTCCTTCAATTTATTCATTTAATTTCCAATCACATTGTCAAATCTGTTATTGCTGTAATTGGTATTTTCTAGTCTTTTGTTGCCAGATATACAATTACATACATGCAAATAATATTTTGTCTCTTTCCATTGTTAGTATATATTATTTTAATACTATCTGAGAGTCTGTCCAGACAACATTGTCACATTATTTAAATTATCATTGTGTCTTTGTTTTCTACTTTTCAATGCTAATTATTTTAGTATTTCTTTTTAATATGATATTTTCTATTGTTGTTAATTGAACAGTCTGAAGTGTTACTGCATTTTCTCTCTCTCTCTTGCTCTCTCGCTCTCTCTAATCTGGAGTTTATATGTCTAATTAGAAATGGTAGTTATTTTAAGAGCTGTTTTTTAGCATAGAATAATGAATTTATATCTTTTCACACAAAATCAATTTGATGAGTTATATTCCAATATTTTCTAATGTTGAGCTATCCCTGCATTCCTGCAATATACTCTGGCTGGCCATGGTATGCAAGATTTTTAATAGGCACCTGGGTTTAATTTGAAGATTTTTACAATGTAGGTACTATATTGTGTATATATTCATGAATGAAATTTTAGTTTTCTTTTTATTGTATCTTCATCAGGTCTGGGAAGTAAGGTTATGCTAGCTTTGTAAATTGAATTGGGAAGTTTTCCATCTTTTGCTATGGTCAGAGATTTTTTGAATAGTATAAGGATTATCTGTTCACTGAAAGTTAGATAGAATTCAGCTGTAAAACCATCTGGGCTTGGCACATATTTTACTGAATAGATCATTTTTGAAGAGGGTTTGTGGTACAGTGGAAGAAGACTGTCTTTGTAGTCAGGGACTTAGGCTGAATCCCTGCCCAGAGCACTGTTAACTGTGTGACTTGGATGACTGCTTATTTTCTTTTTTGTGAAGTAGTGATCTATCCACCTACCTACCAACTCACCGACTTACCTTCCTACCTATTTAGAAAGAAGACTACTTCCTAGAGACATTAAATGAGAGACTTTAATTAAAGAGTTGAGTAGTATGTGACACAATGTAGGTGCTCAATAAATAGAAATTTCCTCTTCCTTGAAGTCTTTTTCTTTGTATTATTCCTCTCTGGGTAGGTGTGTTTGCATAAACCAACTCAGCGATAAACATTAACCTGTAAATGGCAGAGGTAAATCTGCTTATTGCTCTGCAATATCCCTGGGCACTTAGATCAGCCCAATAGTTGCTGAGCTGCAGTGGTTGATTCTCTTGGAGGCATGGCTGCACAGGTGTGCAAACGTGAGCTCCTCTAATAATGTTACCCTCTCTAATTTTAACCAAAGTTTTGAAAAACATAATGAAGAAGCAGCTCCAGTTTCCAAGCTTTTGCTTTGATTTACTTCCACCATAACCAAGGAAGGTTTGGATAACATAACATAAACGAGGTTTAAGGACTTGTGCCCTGTAAGAGTAGGTCATCTAACAGCCCATTGGGCTGGATACAAAGTCAAATTTATTGTTCAAAAGCATTCAGTTAGCATTTCAGTCATTTATTTCAAGAGCAGATGATAGCCCCATTCATCCATAGCTAATATTTAATCCTGAAGCATTTCAGTGCAACAAATTATTTTTCCCAATGCAAAGCACTATACAAAATGTTTGGATGTCACATGAGCAATTTCACAAGGAATTCAAAGGGAAAGCCAATTGCTGCTCTTAAAGTTCCAACAGTTCAAAAAAACTCTACCCATCCTGTGTTTGTCTGATGCTAAGAAAACTCTCAAACAGTTAAAATGAAAAAAATTACCTATAATACATCTATCTGAATAGATGAAGCAACACATAAATATACACATTAGCATAAGTATTATGATTTTCTGAAGGATATATTAGAAACCATTAACTTTATTTTAGGATGACAAACTTAGGATTCCTGGGAATTAGTGAGGAGCGAGACTTACTTCACATTTTGGCAGTATTATTACATCATGAATTTTGCAATTTAACTTATCCTATTCAATATAGGTTATATTATGGGACCGTACTCACCCC